CTTAATACTTGAAAAATACCTCTGAGCTGCTTTCTTGCACGCATAGCTGAGATATCCAGCCTTGAAGTTGCTAATATTTCAATGCAGAAACTTGCTAATGTTCCCCCATGTACGTCATCGCGTGACCACGCCCACAACCGGAAGTTATTTTGACAAAATGGCTGCAAGGCAAGAAATTGCAACTTTTGACCCAAGATTTAGTATGGAAACAGTACTTTTTGATAATTTTACTTATTTTTCCTATGATTTTTTCTTTATTACCAACTTATTTCTGAGAAAAAAGTTTTTGGGTTGAGTTACCCTTTAATAAAGTGTCGTAGCCTTTGATAATGATGATAATTTATTATTGCATACCACCAATTTTTGTTTTTGTCAGGGAAAAAAATTCATTCATAATTTATTGTGTGACGAAAATATAGATGCGCTTTCACATATTCTATAGTGTGTGAATCATAGAAAATTTATAAGAAAAAGAATTTCGACAAAATTTCCTCGAGCACTATACAGTAATAATCATATCCTATCCCAAATTCTTTTCATTACCAGTAGCTTTTAACGTGTCATTAACTTTAAAATTTTTTTACAAAGCTACTAAGAATACCGATACCACAAATTCATGCACTATACCAATAGTTTACATGTGTAGCGTGTGAACAAATGCATGTGTACAACACAAAATTGGTGTCATATGTTTATACACATGTACATACATCTCTTGATAGGTAATTGTATGACCCAGCAACTACTGTTGGCAGGTGAATGTGACTCCATCCTAGTTTCAACGCCATCCATCAAATCCTCTTCACTTCAGTATCTTGTACCTTTCTAAGAACTCTATGAGCAATGATTGAAGAACCATTGCTGAGTATCACTGTCACTTGTATGTTCAGGTCATTGGAAGGCAGTGGACAAGAGGACAAGAGATGTTATTAAGCAATTTATATCATTTATGATGTGCATCTATAATTATAAAATTTGTGTTAGATTTAATTTTAATATGAAGTCACTAAATTTTGATTTTGTGACTAAATTTTAATTTTTTTAAAAATAACTTTTTGTTCCACGTTTGCGCATGCGCAGAAATAATTCGACTATGGCCATTGGCCGAACCTTTGCTTAACGATAAAGATAATCAAGATGATGGTAAGGGGGCACATTCATTGTAACTTACTTTTTGTGCGTAGATCTACTACTGTACTGTTTTAATTATATACAGGTACTACTGAATCAGTCAGTTTTTTAATGGAAGGAGTTACTGATGTTTCAAGTTTATCAGATGAGAGTAAGCATAAATATATGAAAGGGGAATTTTAACTGCTTGCTTACTGTAATTTTTATATAGTTGCTAATTTTAATAGAATTCACAATCATTGTAAGTGACTATTTTGTCAGGCTTCAGGAAGCGCTATTATTAACCCATGACCACATTCACAGCATTATGGATTATGGTTTTTAGAAGCTATGATTAGAGCTAGGCAAATTATGCTTCAATTTTTGCCTATTACCATATAACTGCTTAGTTTCGAAGATACAATTTTCACTGTTTTTGCGGATTTTCCGTATCCATGAAAGTTAATTCCATAAATTATTTGTATTGCCCATAAACACTTGTGCTTTAAAATAAGAACCACGAAAGTTAATTTGCAAAAAAAGAGTTGTGGCCTGATTTTCGAAAGTTTATTGCCTCAAAACTTTGTAGCTATACTGTATGCTTTTATGCACTGCCCCAAATTCCATCCTATTATGCTTTGAAATGAATCCAATTATGCCAATTATTATGCTCATAGTTTAAGCTTTACTCAAATATCACCTATCTAGTATGTACTGTACATGCATTGTTATAATTATAGTAATAATGCAAATGTTTCTAGTGACTTTGAATCACTGCAAAACAACCTATGTCACTGGATTCATCATGCTTGAGTACATGTAGGTGGATATTAAGCAGTGTGGTTGTTGTACTAGTACTGAATTGTACCACCTGCCATATTGAATTGAAATCGTGTGGTCAGGGGTATAGTGCCAGAATCAGTATAATCAAATAAATTGGGTAGATCATTCATAATTTTAACAAAAACTAAAGATAATGCATAAACAGACAGAAACAGTTAATGTTATACACGTACATGTATATGTAGATTTACATGATTAATAAATGGAGTATATTGTGTTTATTATAATTTTTAACATAATAGGGATCGAGTATTAGATACACACATACGTGTAGTTACTAACAAGTAGCAAATGGATAAAGGAACAAGCACATGTACTGAGGTAGGATTACTGCATCTGTATGTTATGTATGCATTGTAAACCTCTACAAGCTGTTAAATGTTTCTCATTCGGTATCAGTTGTGGCCTCTTTAATATCAATATCTTGAGGTTTGAAGCCATGGTACATGCACTTGTATATGAATTTTTCTGGGAATTGTTCTCCTGACTCTAAAACTAAACTTGATTTATAGACAATGCAGTTGTCAATACTTTGAGCATTGGATATACCACCCATATGTAACTGGCTTGTGCTTTGACTGGCAGTAGTTAGATACTCAGCATTCATTGTGACTACATTGTTACTGAGTATGTTCATTTTTCTCATGTAATAAGGACTAACTGAATGAGGACTGCTATAGCATCTTTGTGTCTGGTAACTGTCCCATGATGGAATTGCTGGTTTGATCTTGAATGTTTTGTTTTCTAAGTAATGTATTTTAGCTGATTCTATTAGTTCTAGGCTTCTAGCTCTAATTCTTGGAGTGTAGGTGGTGATTTGGGAGTTTTAATTTCTGATTTTGGGAGTATGGGTGTTGATTTGATCGGCTCAATGTGTGATTCCGGTAGTTTGGTGGTGATTCTGGTAGTGTTGGTGGTGATTCCAGTAGTGTTGGTGGTGATTCAAGATGAAGTTTAGTTCCTGGTTTTTGGATTGTAGGCAGGGATTTTATCCCTTGAGACCTTGATTCACGAGGTTTAGGCTCTGGTTCTGTGAGTGATTGGGGCAGTTTAGGAGGGAGTCTAGACGCTTGTCCTGTAAGTGTAGGTGTTGATTTAGTTGTTCCAGGTACTAATTTGGTAGAACTGGGTGGTCCGGGTCCTGACTCTGGCACTCTGGTATCATGTACAATGTTGTTACTAGGCTTAGGCTGACTGGCTATTCCATTAGATGGGTTTACTTGTACATTGCCTTGGTGTGGCTTATAGACATCATTTCTTAATTCTGGTCTTTGTGTTACCTGATCTTTTCGAATATTTCCTGTTTTGTGTCTTTGAGATAGTGTTGTTCTAGTATGGAATTGTATTTTAGTTCTAGTTCTAGTTTTTAACTAAAAATATATTAATTTTAGTTTCAGTCCTAGTTCTTTGACAAGAAATACAATAAATTTAGTTCTAGTTCTAGTTCTCTGACAATAAATACAACAATTTTAGTTCTAGTTTTTTGACTAAAAATACAGTGATTTTAGTTCTAGTTCTAGTTTTTTGACTAGAAATACTGGGATTTTAGTTCTAGTTCTAGTTCTTTTAACTAAAATCATAGTAATTTTTGTTCTAGTATTAGTTTAAAACTAAAGCCTCCAATACTTACGTTCCAGTTAAGTCATGCTAAAAACTGGAGTAATTTACATTGTAAATACTAGTAGTAGCTCTTAACTAAAATCTTTTTTGTTATATTGCTGAGTTATGTTTCAAATGTACATCAAATGCAATATACACAAAATAATAAGTTTTACTGCTGCCAATAAAACGATTGAAATGTCACAGGTACAGTTTATTTAAAAATGTAACAGCTAGGCTTTGCCTAAAAACATGTTCACCTGTTTATTGTAGTAGTTTGTAACCAATATTTTCAATTCTAGTATTAGTTCTAGCTCTAAGGAGGTTCAATAATTGTAGTTCCAGTATTATAGTTCTAGTATTTCGTGATTAATAATTTTAGTTCTAGCATTAGTTCTAGTACTTTAATTTTAGTTCTAGTATTAGTTCTAGTATTTCAGCTACAAAAAAATTAGTTCTAGTTCTAGTTTTTAGAACTAGAACTAAGCAGAACAATAATTATTTAGTTCTAGTATAGAAGAACTAGAACAACACTACTTTGAGACTCTGTTTCTTGACTTTGTGCGGCCATATTTGTTTTTTTGGGGGTGTGTGGCTATTATTACAAAAATTAATGAATAATGATTGTCGTAGCCATGATTTTATCAATGCAAAAAATGACAAATTGTCTCTCTTCATTTGACTATAAAACAGTGATGTACGTACATGTACATGCTTGTCCCACATTTAATTGGATTAATTATTACTATAGGTGTAAAGGTGACAACACCTTGTTTGTATAACTGTGTACAAGAGTTTGGAGGTCACATCATGTGATGCTGAGGTGAGTACCAGGTCATCAAGTGTTTCTTATATTATAATGGTGTGCCATGCATTAGACCTTGTGATTGTTATCAGCTACAAGTGCATCTCTCTTTCTCAGGACTAACAGTGTAGGAACAGGAACTATTGCTCACTGGCCAGGTTCTTTCACCCTTTAATTGAAGTAGCACAAGCTAGTACTCACTAACAACTAAAGATGCAATGGTGAGTTTTGATTGCATGTAATTGTACATGTATTATACTTGTATATTTTAGCTGCATACATGTATCTTGTGGCAACGTGTACAATAATATGCATACATGACACACTATTACATGTAAATGTATGCAACTGTGTATGCTACATGTACATGCATACGTGTATGTCTTCAACCTGGTACATAATGTGTACATGTAGTTTATTTTATTATTTCTTTAAAAGTTCAATAATGATACTCTCTTTTACATGTATTTTTTACCTTTAGCAGTACACTACACTCACTTCATGCCCACAGTATGCATTGAATTGATTGTGTGCTAGTCTGCTAACCTTAATGATTATATACTGACTGCTCTTTGTCTTGTTTTGTGTATAATATTTGCCCATCACTCTGTCAATGCTTAGAATCAATGTGAATGTTTATAGTGTGTACGTGCATATTATAAAATTATGATTAGTCAAGTGAGGATTAGCTTTTAAAGCCCAAAGTAAGAAGCATGCATTGTTAGACAATCTGAGATTTAGCTAGAGGAATAATTTCCATGAAATGAATGAGCTTCATATGAAAAGCCAATAGTAGTTGTGCTTAATATTGCATTCATTATAGTACATGTACATGTACATGTAGGTCCTTTTATCTTGTAAGGAATGCACTTTTTAGATTCTTGATGTACATGTATATGTACATGTAGCTATACTCATACATGTACACTAGTGTGCAAATGACCTCATACTTGTAGTTCTTCTCTATTTTGACTATCTCAGGCAGGTTGTAATAACTAAAGCCTTTCAGAAAGCTGCCTATCAATACATTAGATTGTTTTACTTTCCTCTAACTCTGAGAGCATAAGAAAACTTAGTATCATTAGAACCAGCGCAGGTGTCTCTAAGATTTGAACAGCTCTATTTCAGTTACCTTCTCTTGATTGTATACATGTAGTTGGACTACGCCTTCTATATATCATCTGTAGATGTTTCTGCCCGCTAGACTCTCAAAGAGACTTTGGCTAGCTCTTGTCCTTCTTTATAAAGTAAATGTCTACATGTATCTTTGCCAGTCAAGCCTGTTTTTGCTGATCTATCACTGTCAGTGCCCCACCCACTTGAATTTTTCAATCTTTTTACTGAAAATGTACGGAAAATAGTCAAAAACTCAAAATACTTCAAAAAAATAATTAATAGCTGCTAACGATTAATTACAAAAATTGCATATAATTAACTAAAGACTATTGTTATTTAGCTATCCACTACACACACACACACACACACACAGCAAGAAAATCTTTTTAATCAGTTTCACCATCAGAGAAATGATTGGACGAATCCTCTTGAGGCTTTAAAGGCTTTTCAGGTAGCACAACAATTTCACTACCATCTGTTATCTGTTGTAAAGCCTTCCAATTAATGGATGGTAGAACCAGCATGCAAGAAGCACTACCTCCTCCTCCTCCTCCCTGATCTTCAATTGGCTTTAGCATTGTAGCTTCAATTATTTGTTCTTCCCATGAAGTGGCTTCACAGTCAGGAGGATCAGAAGGAGTAGTACTGGAAATGTTAGGGGGAGTTGGTGTATTATCAGGAACTGGAAGAGTACCACCCATGCTCCG